CAGGTCAGGGGTTCCCAACATTTAGCTGGAGACTGGCCCGAGATACAGGTCCCAGGTCCTACCTAACAAAGATTTCAGCTCAGTAGGCCTGGGGTGGGAAACGTCATCAGAGGACGGTCAGATTAAACGAGACATGGGCCAAATGTTTACCGCATGCCTCGCCCGGGTCAGCCATTGTAGCCCCAAAATATTTCCACCCGAGTGGACCTAACGTGAGGAGTCACTTCCTTTGGGAAAGTCAACTTCCTTGGCACCACAGAAAACCAAGAAAGTTAAAAACACCAGGCCTGTAGTCCAGCTACTCAGGAGACTGAGGTGGATGACCTGAACCCAGGAGGTCAAGGTTGCAGTGAGCTGTGACTGCGCCACTGCGCTCCAGTCTGGGACGGAGTGAGACCCTGACTTAAAAAAAGTTTCGTGTTTGTAAAATAGCAATATAGTGGAAACGCTGCTGAAGTCATGTTTTAATGAACGAGGTGTGCGTGAACATTCTTGGGTTAAATCTGTGAGTGACAGCCGGCCTCGGTGGCTCAGTCTGTCATCCAGCACTTTGGGAGCCCGCAGGTTCGAGACCAGCCCGGGCAACTTGGCGATCTACAATAAATCAAAAATTAGCCGGGCGTGGTAGCGCACGCCTGTCGTTCCGGCCATTTGGGAGACTAAGGCAGAAGGATCGCCAGAGCCCAGCAGGTCGACGCTGGAGTCACCACGAATATGCCTTGGCACTCCAGCCTGGGCAACTGAGTGAGATTCCAACTCAAAAAAAAAATCTGTGAATGATACGATTTTAATGCCACGTGGTATTTGGCACAGAAAGTTCATAACTAAAGGAAGTGGACAATTTCTTGGGCTTCGTGCTAATTGGACTTCTTTGTTTTAATGACCAAAATCAGCCCTGATTTCATTTTCAACTAGAAGTATTCCTCCTAGATGAAACAAGGCACGATCGGGGCCTGGTACACAGCAGACCCTCCTCTGTGCCGAGTTAATACGGAAGGCCTGCCATCCAGAACGCTTAACGAAGGCAAAGAAATTCTATTTACAAACTTGCCAGGCTCCCAGAGAGGATATCAGAGATTTCTGAAGAGCAACTCAAATGACATATGAACTTTTAATAGTTTGGTAAAGTACAAATACACACGATCGACTGAGAGCATCCTGGAACCCCTTGGTAGGGGGCCTAGAGGGAGGGCAAGGTGCTGAGACTGCCCTTCGTTGCAGCGAGAGACTGACCCCTGGTGGTGGTGAGCCAGACAGTCCCCATTCTGAGACAGCCACACAGGCTATTCGCTCCCCCTGACCTCACCCCTGGGGAGAATTTTGTTGTTGTCTTTGAGTCGGAACCTCACTCTGGCACCCAGGCTGGAGTGCAGCGGCACGCTCACAGCTACCGCAGCCTCGGCCTGCTGGGCTCCGGCGATCCTTCCGCCTCAGCCTTCCAGGTAGCTG